TGTTGCCATGGTTTAAAGATGAAGGTGCTTATTAGAACAAGCATTTACATTGTAATAGACCCTGTGCCAATTAGCTATTGTGATAATACAGTTTGGTATGTATTGCGCACATTAAATCCTACTTACATTATGGTGATGACATCATACATTTAGTATATTCAATGTCATATGGCGCCACTTCGTTGTTAATTCATGTAATAAAATCGCTATTTGTAATTTCCCAAGTAGACTTCTGCATAAAACTCTAGAAGACCAATTTAAAAAAAAATAGTCAAACGAGGCCTCCAAGCACTCCCTGTTCTTCCCAGTGCGGATTAACCTTCAAATCTGACGAAGTGCGTTCTGGATGTCCGCGTCTCACAGGGACAAAAGTAAAGACAGGTCAAGACAGTCCCGAAGAACGTCAATACAAATAGGGGAAAATATATGAAACAGTGAAAGCAAATTTGACAATGAACCTAAATTTCTTAAGTCAATTCCCGTTACAGAATTATCTCCATCAGTGCGTTGAAAATTGCGTTGTGATGTTAAAGACTTTGAGGCCCTTTTAATGCCAGCCGTTAATTGACACTCTTCCTACACATTGACAACAATTTTCTATTCGAAAATATCTGTAAAATATATATACATATGATATAATATATATACATATATAATATAATATATATATACATAAAAATATTTATAATATATATATATATATATATATATTATATATATAATATATATATATATATGCATGTATAGATATATATAATTCATTCATTCATATACACATTTATTCATCTATGCATTTCAATAAATATTGATTGATATGTATACATGCACACAAGTACTTATGTATGTATGCTGTATGCACATGCATGTGTTGATATATGCATAAATGTACGCATATATGTTCCTATATATGCAAGTTTACATATCTATGTACGCTTTTTGTGTGTATCTGTGCGTGTGCATGTCGGGTGTTCGTGTACGTTATTTATTGTTGCCATTATTACCATTATTTCTTTTTCCTCATCATTCCGCATATTTCCTGTTTATTTCTTCAAGCCCTTATTCATCAGCTGACTTCTTCCTTTTTTCTTATGATTTAAATGTATTCAAAAGGATTTTTGAAATAAAACAAACAAGTTATTTGTTAACTATCGTATTCTCACGTATGTCTTTTAACACAAAAGTAATGCACATGTGATGGCAGCATTGGCAGTAATTGCATTACAAAAGTTTTTTTTTTTTCTTTAAACTTTGAGATATTCCGAACTTCTTAAACAACTCAATCGCTGCCTTGATTTTCGCATATCAAAAAAAAATCTTTATTATTTTCTTTTTCAACCATTCATAAAATAAACAGTTATTGCACTAGAGATCTACTGTATATTTCGCGTGTTTCTACCGTATCTGACGATGCTCTTAGAGGGCGGATCCACTAACCATTCGTGACGAACACTTTACTCTCTTAAAATCGTTCTTTAATTATCTTAATATTCTTAACTCTTTGGAAATAACTCTTCATCTACGTTCCTATTGGCCAATTCACTCGAGGAGGTGAATTTCTGGTTTGTTGCTTTGTCGTGGTTAGAATGAGAACAGACAGATTGTAACATCAACATTGAGTAGAAAATAAAAAATTGATATATTTCATGAAACAATAATACTATTAACTAAACAGATCTCATGTATAAAAGCTTTTAGTAAAATATTTTCCCAACAAATTGTAGTACACGTATTCTGTATCACATCAATCACATTATACATCTGTCTGTCTCTGTCTGTTTGTCTGTGAGCATATTATATAAATACAGGTGTGTGTGTGTGTGTGTTTACATAAATACATATTACACACACACACAAACATCTACCTAAAATATATATGTATGTATATATTGTGTGGGGGGGTGGGGTGGACTGATGGATGGATGGATATGGATGTGGATGTGAATATATGTGTGCGTGTGCGTGTGCGTGTGCGTGTGCGTGTGCGTAGAAGTTTTGTTATCCCGCCCGTCATTGGCCGAAGGAGCCCGGCAGTTCCCTCCCGAGCGAATGGCAGTGGATCCGGCCCCCGATTTCGAGTTCCCAAGTTTGTGTTGATGAAAAAATATTACTGATCTCTGTTCTGTTTCTGTTTTGGTCTGTTTTGTTCTTTTCTTTCTTTCTTTTCTTTTTTGTTTTTTTTTTCCGTTCAGCGACTTTTCTCTCTCTCTTCACGGCCACACGCATGCCCAACCTAACGATCTCCCTTTTCCGCCAATTTCTGTAACTGTTCATACATGAACTGATTTTTTTTCGACCACACGCAAGGCAAC